AAACTTGAAGCCTATACTGATGCTGACTGGGCTGGAAACATTGATGACAGAAGATCTACTTCTGGGTATTGCAGCTTGGTGGCTGGTAATATTGTCTCCTGGAAAAGCAAGAAACAATCTGTTGTTGCTCGATCTTCAGCAGAAGCAGAATATAGAGCCATGGCACATGGAGTTTTTGAACTATTGTGGTTAAAATCATTGATGGAGGAACTGGGGATTGAGCATGACAAGCCAATGATGTTATACTGTGATAATCAGGCCACCATCAACATTGCTCACAACCCAGTATAACATGACAGAACTAAGCATATTGAAGTTGATAGACACTTCATTCGAGAAAGAGTGGCTTCTGGTGAAGTATGTCTACCTTTCATCTCCTCTGAAGGACAGTTAGCAGATTTTCTCACCAAGGGCATTCCCAAGGCTAAACTTCAGCATGATACTGGCAAGTTTGGCATGATTGACATCTATACTCAGCTTGAGGGGGAGTGTAGAGAAGATGGGCCGAATGGCCCATAGGCTGTTTATCCTTTCTTATCTTTTATGTTCTTTGCTGTAATGGGCCTTATTCTRGGCCTATTCTTTCTATGTTATGTTCTTTTAATTTCTTGCCCAACTAAGGGCCTCTTTGTAAATTATYAAAGTTTAACTTAATAAAATAGTGTTAGGGGTGTAAGAGTAGAGATTAAGGTTTGAAACTCTCTTACTCTGAACCCTTATTGCCGCCATCTTCTTCTTCATCTTCTCTTCCTTAGAAGAATGATTTCTGTTGTTTTACTTTGATTTCTGCATCTGTTCTAAACAGTCCTTTATTCTCAAAAGACTGTTTTTCTTCTGGATATTCAATCGATTTGATTATCTTGGAAACTTCTAAAACATAAACATAATAAAGAAGTGTAATTATGTCAAACTATGATCTAAACTGCAATTTGAGTAAAACTCTTTATTAATTAGAAAGAGAAGATACAGGTGGTACAAAACAGAAAAGAAAACAAGGCCTACAAGAATAAGCTGAACCTAGTCTTCACAGAAGACTACCTCATACCACAAGATGATCCCTTTACATGTACATAAAAATAGGTCCCAAGGAATGGAAACATTTCCCTCCCCAGCATATAATGCTGTCTTGTTTACTCCAGATATGGTTACACACCCTGCAAATTCATTACCTGATCTCTTGATCCAGGTGAATGAGATGTTCAGCCTAGATGTAAGTACTCAGCCTCTTATAAAATGTAATATCTCTCATGGTCCCTTTTTTCTGATAATTAATATCTCTCATGGTTCCTTAATAGATATCATTTTACCTCTTCCCAAAAATAATAAAAAAAGCTCTCATGGTCACTCGTTTTTTCTTTTTATCAATAACTTAGTGAATTTCATTAAGAAATAAATAAGCGATTACAAGGAGTAGAGGGGAGACAAACTCCCTTAGCTCCCACTCCCCAAAAAAGAAGAAAACATTACAGCATCAGCCAAGCTATTGGCATCTCTCTTAATCCATTTAGATTGAATTTCCATTCTTTGAGACAAGTCTCTGAACTTTCTTTTTTCATTTATATACTCCCACCAGTCCATCTCCTCCTCCTTTTGGAGCTAACCAATAACGAGCTTTGAGTCCCCTTCAATAATCAGTTTGGAAACATTTAACTCCTTGGCTTTCTGAATTGTGTAAATCTCAGTCCACATCTAGCCTTCGGAATTCACATGGAATTGTCTATTTTGTTTTCAAATCTTAACCGTAAACATCCATAACAATTTCAACAATTGATGTCACAAGCATTTTCTCTGATTTTTCAATATCTTCCTATTTTTCTGAATTTCAATATGTAATCATGTATATATAAGACAAGATTGAAACCAATCAAATAATGGGACTATAGCCCTTGTCTATTGAATTAGAACAATGCTCTCAGATTATAGCTTAATGCACTACCAATGCTTTCAACAGCAGGAACTGTGTTTTATAAATAAATACCAATCATTGTTGTTTTTAAAAAAATGCAGCAGAGACACTTCAATGTGTGTTTTCAAATATTGAAACATTATGTCAACTATAATTACACATGAAACAACCCTCTACATTTCTGAAATCAGGTTCTTCAAATTCCATGTTTTATATTTTATATATTCCACTTTTAGATTGCATATCAGACTTGTCTTTTACCTTTGACACTTGGTAGTAAGTATATATTGCAAGAAGTGCAATAAATACCACCTAGGGAAGCAAAGAAGCTGGAGAAATTAATGAGAGATTTCCTGTGGGAACCGGGACAACAAAAATGATCACTGGGTTAGATGGGAAGTTGTGTGCAGAAGTAAAGAGTTGGGCGGATTGGGCATAGCAAGGGTGGTTAAAAAAAAAAATTAGCATTGCTAGGGAAATGGCTTTGGTGTTGGCCTTTGGAGAGAGAAAGGTTATGGTCGGAAGTATCCATGGCAGTTCAAAGAATGGGTGGGATGCTGGTGTATCAAGACAGGCTAATTTAGCAGCACCTTGGAAGGCCATTCTCACAACACTCTTCCTCAGTTTCTCAGGTATATTGGGTATGAGGTTTGTTCTGGAAACTCTGTCTAGTTTTGGGAGGATGTTTGGGTGGGAAAACCCCTTAAAAGACCTTTTCCCCTTGTTATACTCTGTCTCTCTTTATAAAAATGATTGGGTCTCAAAATTTGTTTCAACATCGAGAACTCCTTTGGCTTTGAATTGGGATTTTAGCTTTCATAGAGGGGTAAGGGATAACCAAATTGATTCTTTGACTGATTTGCTCTCCCTCTTCAATTAGGTTTGTTTGGACCCAACAGAGTCAGATAAGAGGGTGTTGGATCCAAGGCCCAAAGGGACCTTCACTTGTGCCTCTTATTTTAAGTCTCTTTACCTTTCTCCTGGTCCTTAGTTGTTCCCTTTCAAGGAAGTTTGGTATAGGCTGATTCCCCCAAAGATCATGGCCTTTTGTTGGGAAGTGCACCTTGGGAAATTAAAAACTTTAGATAACCTACAAAAGAGAAGACCTCTCGTGTATTTCTCCCAACTGTGTGTTCTCTCTGTACAGCTCATGGGTAGGATTGCTATCACTTATTGATTTCCTGTCTGTTCTCGGAAGAGTTATGGGTTTGGCTCCTCTCGTTGTTTGGGTGTAGTTGGATCGTTGGAATCTACCGGCAGGTGTACACATGATTTTTGACCACTTTGCCTTCTCTTGGCCCAGAAAAAGAGGGAGAGTCATGTAGAGATGTGCTCGGGCAGCTTTGCTTTGGACCTTATGGGAGGAAAGAAATGCAAGAGTCTTCCAAGAAAAGGAGAGGGGCAGTCTAGGTTTGAAGGATTGTGTTCTGAATAGGGCAATACAATGGCTAAAAACCATGGAGCTCTTTCAGCAATTCTCCTTTAGGGATCTTTGGAGAAATTGGTTGACAGTAGCAAGCTGTTCCTCCACTAAGGGGGGAGGGGGGGGGTGTTGATAAATCGGAATGGAGAGGCAGTCCTTTTGTACCTGGGTTGTCTAGGACATGGAGATTCTGTTAGGGCAGAATTACTAGCCGCTGTACAAGGGGTTCTTTTTGCAAGCCAGATGGGGGTGGAGCATTTGATTATTGAAGGGGACTCTAAGGTAGTGGTGGATGGATGAATAATCCCCAGAATGCTGCTTGGTGCTACAAAAATGAAATCAAGAAGTTCAAATGGCTGACGAGGAATATGTCTACTTCTATACAGTGGGTGGGGAGATCAGAAAATGCTTTGGCGGATGTGTTAGCCAAGAAAGGGGCAAATGGGGAAGACCTTTTCTGGGCTCAATTGTGACCTGTGTTGTTTTTTCCTTGTAATTTGTTGGGGGAGGCTGCAACTCATGCCTCCCTGAGGGTTGTATGAGCTTTCATTCTCAAACCTTTTTACGATCTAATAAAATTTCATCATTTATCAAAAAAAGTGCAATAATCAGTGAGTATCAATCAGCTTCAAAAAGAAAAAATATTGGTGTCATTAACTGCTAATTCCAGCCCAAACCACCGTTTCCAGAAAGGCAAATGAGCAAGGGAAAATATATAAGAAATGGAAATGGGGGATCTTGTTGAGTCATATGAGGCAGTAACAATTGAGTTAGACTAAAATGCAAGTATGAAAGGGAATATGGTATAGGGAAGGATTTTTTTAGGAGTCGTGAAAGAGGCCAATAAAGCAGGACCATTTCCAGATGGATTTGGAGTGTCATGGTGGTAGGTTTTCCCCCAATTGTGATTAGCTCAGTCAGTCATTTTGGGTTGACGAATTTCCTTTTTTTTCCTTTAATTTTTCTGGGTACCAGCACACCTTTCCTTGTTTGCTAATGAAGTGCATTTTGATTGAGGAAGGACAGGAATTCATTTTTGTATACATTTATCATTTCATATGATCTTTTATCCTAGTAAAAGTGCTACTAATAATAAACAAAAAATTACAAGAAACACCCCAGGAAAAGAATAATACCTTTCTTTCATTTGAAAGGAATGAAAATATAAACTGTAATGCCAAAGATACAAAGAATAATACCTTACTTAGAAGATATAGTGTCCATGTCAGGACTGATCCAGTTGTCTCATGGCCAGCAACCAGCATTGACAAAAGATCATCTCGTAATTGTTGACTTGAAACCTAAACAAATTTTGAGTAATAAAGCAAAGAACTTAAAAAGAGAAAACCAATGATTAATCAAGTTCAAACAAAACCAGAAAGCCTCAGCCCTTTCTTGGAAAATGAAGTTGAAGTACAAGGCTCATAATTAAATACTACACCATAATCATGTTAAAAAGAAAAAAAAGTCAATCATTTCTTGTCACTACGATTAGTTTAATAATTTGCAAATTAATTATTAGGTCAGTGACGTTTTAAACTCATTAATAGATAATAACCATATCAAGATAAGCATACATCCAGCATGAAATCTAAGATGATGTGCATAGATATACATATGTGTTGCACTTGGATGTATATACTTTCACTAACTGGTGGATGACAATATGCATGCCAAATTTATTCAAAAATTAAAGTGTATGTACATGGAAATATTAATAAATAATAACCATATGAAGGCAAAGCCTACATCTAGCATGAAATCTAATGTGTTTGTGCACACACATAAACACATAGACTCACTATAGTGTATAGAGGTGATAACATTTATGTTAAATCTGTTCAAAGAAACACTGTGTATGTAGTATGTACATGTGCAAGCTCATGTCGTGAACCAAAGCAGTAAAGTGTTCTGTAAGGAAACAAGATAACATATCTCTGTTCTTATAGAAAGGTAACAAAAGAAATTGTAAATATCAAACTGACAAGGACTATGATGGAACCAACCAGAATGCACCTAGGACCATGTAATACAGTTAGAATAGGACAGAGAGTAACACTACAGTAAAATGTTGTTGAATAATCAAGCAAAAGGTAGATGCTACAAGCTACGGTTCCATGTGAAGAAGTTGGAGAAAGTAGACAGATAGAAGAAAGTATAAAAGGCAGAACCAATTCTTGCCTGAGAAAAAATGAAGCAAAATTGTATGCACAAACTTTCTTTCTCATATTGATTATGGTCAGTGTTGCATGGTCCCTCCTAGATGGGTGAAAGGTCATGTCAGACACATATCCAAGTCCAACACTCCTTGGACCCTTGAGGGCACTTCTACAAAACGTTACATTTTTATCTCTTAGCTTGTTTGACATAAATGAACAGCCAATCTTCAAGATTAATCCTTTTTTCTGTGTGTGTCAAACATCACTTAGGCTCAGTTTGGGAAGAGTGCAAATACAAATATGTGCAATGCAAAACCTTATATACGATATTTCTAAACGTTGTATTTGTACTATACATATTTGTATTTGCACTCTTCCCAGATAGAGCCTTAGGCTCAGTTTGGGAAGAGTACAAATACAAAAATGTATGGTGCAAAACCTTGTATATTCTATTCCTAAACCTTGCATTTGCACTGTACATATTTGTATTTGCATTCTTCCCCAACTGAGCCTTAGGCTGTGTTTGGTTGCAATGCAAACAAATTTGCACTGATGCAAAACTATGGCAGTAAAAATGATTTGAGTGTAAATTCTTACCTATTTTTGTTTGAAATTTTAGCTCATTTTCTTTGATTGCAGTAAAAATAAAGTAAATTAAGACATGAAGTAGAATAAAGTAAAACCCAAAACAAGATTAAACGAGAATTTGCATTTTTTTAATTTGCACTCCCGTGCATTTGTACTAGTGCAAATAATATTGCACTGTAACCAAACACAGCCTTAGTAACAAAGGCAACAATTTTTTGTAGGTACATAATATTAGAATTCAAAAAACATGAATTATATTAATAGTATACATTTTACCATAAACATCTCCATTTGTCTATGTTTTCTCATCTTGCCAAGTCAGACTCTTTTACATGCACCATATTCTGACTCCCATGTCTGTGACAATGCAATGCTGATTATGGTGCATAAAATACAATACAGATATGTCCAGGATTATTATTTAAATGTTCTTTTAGTGGATGCTAAATGACAAAAATGATATAATGATAGAACTTCTTTTCAGTTTTCATGAACAATGCCACCCATCTAAATAGACAGAAATCAGCTTGTATATATGACTAATAGAACAAGTTTACAATGCAATAAACTTGCCAGTGAGGAGCAACTTGATGTAAGTTGAGGGTTCTCAAAGATCCCGATGGAGGTTGAAAAGGATGTAGATTGAAGCCAAGGACTGACAATCTCAAAACAAAAATCAGGCCATTGATAGAGTGGAACAACAAAACAGGATTCATGTAGCCAATCCAAAAAGGATAAGGGTCAGTTGAGTTGAGCACAAGTAATGATCTTCATTAAAAGTAATCATTCATGCATACTAGACAATAATCACAAACCAAAATTAATGATTCAGAAATTGAATACGTGAATCTATCAAAATGAACAGACCTCTTCCCTGCTTGCAAGCAAGAAACGAAGGATACTTGGATCTGTGTCGTTTACATACTCCTCCCCATCAATCAATTCACCTTCAGCTTCCACAATTTCCTTGCACTTCACAATAAGTTCTTCAACAGTTCTCCTGATAACTGTAACAGCTTTTTCTGCTTTTATTTGTCTTGGAATGATTTTGCACAAAGCTCTAATCTGCATCATGAACAAAAAAGAACCAAAGGTATTGATTTTGCAATACAGAAATAGGAATATAATTGATGCAAGAACCTACCTTCCAATATGGTAAAAGATCAGTAGAACGAGCCTCTGCCTCTTTCAATGCAGTGTAAACTGCATCAATAACAGGACTATCAGCAGTAAGCGAATCAAAATTGTGGTTGAACACTGCCAAACCTATAACATCCAATGTTAATTGAGAAAATTTTGCCTCCATGTTCACTGCAGCACCACTGAGTGCATCTGGTTTGAGCTTCTCCACCAACCTCTCAGCACATTTACAGAAGACCCTATCAACTATTATGGATAAGTACTTCTTGTGAAGAGACGGAACCACTGCTCTGCGTCTTACCTATCAAAAAATAAAAGTTATTCCTCAAATTGATTCGTCTTAATATTGAGAACAAAATGAGTTCCAACCATGGGAAGTTAACCTTGCGAACAACCACAACTTTCTTTAAACCTCTAACCAGGTTTCAGGAACTCAATAACTCGTCTAAACATGATTATTACTGGGTAAATTTAGTTCCAGATTTGATAGAGTTTACGGGGCAGTCAGTCTAGTACTAAAAAAGAACAATGGAGAATACGATTTAATTAGGACAGAATTTATAACCCTATTATAAACAAAGCCTTTAATAGGCTCCTTGAGACAACGTAGAGGCTACCAAATTTTTGGTCACTTTATCAAAGTCTTATTTTATAACAAAGATGAATCTGTTTGCTAATTCCATTGAAAATTAGTTCAGGAGTTAAAAAGGTTAAGTTTTAAATTGGCTCGAACAGGGACAAAAGAAAAGAAGAATTTTTTTCCTATAAATACTCAATAATCATGTCTATCTACGACCCCAGGTGACGACAGTAGTGTAATGAAAAAAAAATGGAAAGAAAAACCAAAACAGTGTAATATGTAACACTAATAAGCGAGTCCAGATCTCCTGCCCACGAGAACCCTGCCCACGTTTATCGCAGCCACTGATAAACCCAGAAGGTTGTTGCGCACTCCTAAGAAAAATCCCAAGTTCCTGGATTTACTTGGTCAGCTAGCTATTTGTTGAAGTTCTGTTATCTGTTATGGTTTGAATTTGTCAAGGTCAGAGCTAGTCATTAGGAAAGTTGTTACATTCTGTTTCCTCGAATTCAGGTCAGTTAGCCAGTAATTAGGAAAGTTGTTACATGGATTTGCTTTGAGTTTGTTTCCTAGAATTCAGGTCAGTTAGCTAACATTTAGGAGTAAGTTGTTACAGGAACTAGTATTTATGTAACCACTCTAGCTGGAATGAGAAAGCTGAATTATTCTCTCTCAATTGGTCCATCTTTCACCAAAAGAAAGTATTATTTTCTGGTTGCCTTGAATCTGATTGGGACCTAACAGCCACACATGGAGAACATCTCACCCTCTGCATAGCATTATGCAGGGGGAGATGTTCCCAATTCACGGTGGGGTGGTGTATTGTGGGTAGGCGTGGGCAGGAGATCCAGAGTCCTAATAAGCACTGTGATACCCCATAAAATGTAGCCATTAATCTAACACCAATCGATAACATTACAAGTAAGAGAACCTTGCTATAAGCCATTGCAGTTGAAAGTTGAAACCAGTCCCATATATCAAAAAAATACTAATGGTGCAAATTAAAGAAACCATATATAGTTTTAAAGGCTTCAATGCACTTCAATAACAAGAACGAGAAATGAAGAATTACCGTCCAAAGCGGGCCTTCAGCAATGGCGAAGCCGGACCCAAACAAAAACTCAGAGACCTCAGAGACAAGACCCTTGGCATACTTCCCATAGTTCCTCAAGACATGCTTCGCAATAGCTGGGTCACTGACAATCACAAAATTACGAGGCCCCGCTGCGAGCCGATAAATGGGTCCATACTCGTTCATCCATTTGAACAAAGGGAGGAAAAGAGCACCGCCCAAAAGATCAGACACATCTTCGAGCTTGGCATTGGCAATGGGTATGCCCGAATCGTCACGGCCAATGCTAAGGGGCCTGGTTAGGGAAGTCAGCCAGTCTGGGCTGACCCATGACCCATTGCTACTCAATTTCTGGTTTGAATTAGAAGAAGAAGTGGAGTCTCGCTCTGCAGAGGATTTAATGGAGAGAAGATGAGGTGGGTTTCTTGAACAGAGGAATATGGGTTTGTGAAGGTGTTGTTGGATAGGATTTGTACAAGGAGATAAGGAAGTGAGAGATACCGAAGAGACCATGGTGGAAAGTCAAGGAGTTTAAATGGTTCCAATTAGTTAATATTTGCAACGCAGGACTGGAGGTTTGTCTTCTCTGTCTCGCCTATCATGCTCGACTCTATGTGGGTTAACGTTGGAGAGTGAGAGACTGCCTGAAGAGGGATCTCAGAGGCCGAGCTTGGCCGTACACTTGCTTATCCTAGTAGTTAGTTTTTGTGTGCTGGGAAGTGGTAACAGTCTGTGGTCGAAAGGTTATATACAGGTATCGGGAATCACTCGTGATGTGTTTGGTTTGATAGAAAATAAGAGAGAAACAAAAATCCCTCAACTTTCTGCTTATCCCTTATTTTTATTTTTGTGAAACCAAACACAGCCTTAGAAAAAAGTATAAAACAGTACTATAGATAGATAATGTAGAATACCTAGAGAATGACATGAGGTAGTATTCTGATATTTTTATTTGACACCCATAAAATTGTTTATGTCGTAAATTTATATTATTATTTTATTTGATTTTTATGTAAAGATTTATTATTTAATTTAAGAGATTAAATCAAATTTTATTTATAAATAATAACCTACGTTATGGATTTTACATCATTGAAATGAGTTTTTTAGTATGAATAGGTAAGCACATTATGAGTAAGTTGTTGTTTGAGTGGGAATAATCACTTTTGAGATGATCTTTTTAAAGAAAACTTGTTTGAGAGGGAGAAGCTCTCTAGTTTGAGGGCTAGTTTGTTTTAATGGAATATACAATTGGGGTTCCAAGTCCAACTCAAGCAATCATTGGATTTTCTAATTTCTATTAATATTTATTAATTATTATTTTAAGTAGAATTTATAGGGTTTTATTTTTTGTTAATTATTGATTTTATTAATGAAATCAATTTTATCTATTTATTTGTTATGATTAGATAAATTTGTATTAATTTTATTATTATTATTATTTTGCAAGAATTTAAATGGAATTTAAATTAATAAAACATAATTATAAAATTAATATTTTTTAATGAGAGCATGGCTATTGAATTGCCCGTTCTTCTTTTGGACATTTTTTTAAATATTTTGTATATATAGCGAGCTCCCTCTAAGTAGGGTGTGGCTCAAAAATAGAGAGTTAATGACAATTTTATTATTATGGAATCTAGAGTACCAAGTAACATATAGTAGATGAGTTATAGAAATCAGGTTAAGTTTTTTTTTTTTTTTCTTGGTAAGAAAGGAGTAAGTTACTAAAGAGAAAGAAAGATTACACAGATGAAGGGGGAGTCATCCAATTTGCCAGCCACAAAGGTAGGGCTTCTATGTAACAACCACAGTTTGAAGGGCCCATTTTTGCAAGATTATGGGCTAGCATATTGGACTCCTGCCTAGCAAAAGAAAAAGAAATGTTCAAGTCTTTACATTCTTCCAGAATATCTTTACAAAAAAAGAAAGCTCCAGAAGCATTAGATGGATTATTTGCGATTAGCGCCTGATCTAGGGATTTACTATCACTCTCTATCACAAAGGACCTTTGTTTAGCAGTTTCCCTAGCTTCACTCCTTGGAGGCAAGCAAAAGCTTCTGGTTGGGTGGGAGAAATTGCATCTAAGTGGCCAAAAGATACACCTTCCAACAGACCCAAATGGTTTCTTGCCGCTACACCAAAATTTGCTTTCCCTTCACACAAAAAGTTGTTGTCTACGTTTATCTTCAAGAAGTTTAATTCTGGGGGGTGCCACAAAATAGTTGATTCAGTCAACTCAGGCACTTGCAAAGTACTTGGTCATTCTTTCAGCAAAGTCCTCTTCCTCTCCTTCTAGGCTCTATTAAGGCAGATGAGATTCTTGTAAAGGTTAGGCAGTTCATTATCAAAAACAAATTTGTTCCTACATTTCCAAATAGTCCACAACAAGAGGGCCGAGTAACTTAGGAGCTCTTCTTTTCTATCTTTCCTTTGGCTGCATAGATTTATCTATTCCAAAAACCAAATGGAAAAGTCATTTGGGACATTCTCTGATCTAAGACCCAAATTTGATCCGAACCAAAGAAACTTTGCATGATTGCATTTAAAAAGTGCATGTATAACCGTTTTTGGCTCTTTTTTGCAGATAGGACAGTAAATGGATTGGGATATCCTCTTGTTGACTAGGTTCACGTTGACTGCAATCGAATTCCATAAACATCTCCAAATGAAATGTTAAATTTTAAGATCAGTTTTTAATTTCCACAGCTCCTTCCAGGCTTCTCTATTTTGATGAAGGCTATTGTTTGGCAAGTGGTTTGAAAGAGGGGTGGGGGAATCAAACCTTTCTTTGCTTGCTATGTAGTAGGATGACTTGACAGAGAATCTCCCAGAAGAGTTTCCTTTCCAGATTAGCCTATCCTCCCAATTTCCTAAAGCTAAAGGATTTTTTTTTTATTTGATCTTCTATCTCTTTTGTGAAGTTAGCTTCCAAGATGGCAGAGTTCCAACACCTTCTATCTTGATCTATTAGATCTTTGACCCAAAAGGGCCCATTGTTTCCTGGATTAGGTCCCATTAAACGGAAATCTAGCAAATCCTTTAACCAAGGATCATTCCAAATCCTGACTTGATCCCCTGAATTTACTTCCCAGAAAGCTCATTTTTTCAGAATTTCCCTTCCTGCTAGGATGCTTTGTGATAGAGGGCCAGCTCATCATCTAGGCAACAGCTCATAAGATAAGAGGCACATGCAGGATAAGGATAATTCCAAGAAGATTCAAGATAATTCAAGGTAATACCAAGAAGATATGATAACCCATGCGCGGATAGACCCAGGGAGATCGGATGGTGGAGATCGAGGCAACCCCAAAGAAGACGTCGATCCTAGCTAGAAGATTAGATGTTTAGATCACTTACAACTTTTCTTTCCTAGTTACTCTACAATTTCCCAAATGTATTATAAATATAGTTATTTCCAAGCTAATAGACACATTCAAGTTTTCGCAAACTTTTCTCTCTCTTCTAGAGATTCACGTATAGCTCTCATCGGCTTCACTACGAAGCCTTATGTTCATCCGGTGCTTGCATAGCCAGCCCAGTTTATTGCTTCTACGCTGCGTCAGGTGGTATTAGAGCAGGGAGTTCGCCCAGTCAAATGGCCAACCAAGACGGTAGCAGTTGCAACCCACCCCGTGACAGAGATCAGGGGTTACAAGCTGTTTGGAGAGCAATCGAAGAGCTGCGCACAACCATACATAACATCGAGCAGCAGTTGGCAGAGATCGCTGGACAACTACGGACCTTGTTACGGGAGGATGTTCCACGGAACCAGGAGAATCCGTATCCAATCGAAGGAGACGACCACGGTAGACCACTTGTCAATCCTGTACCTCAACATCCTGTTCTTGACGATGACAGTGACGATGAGCTAGAACTCGGTGTTGCTCCAGTTAATCCCGGCGACGGCAGAAACGGTAGAAATTGGCGCAACCCCGGTAATTTTAATTCCCGTCGGAATAATGATGAGTTTAAACTCAAGGTCGATATTCCTACTTTTAGTGGGGATTTGGATATAGAGGGACTTCTAGATTGGATCACAGAGGTCGACCGTTTCTTCGAGTACATGGAAATCCCAGAAGAACGAAGGGTGAAATTGGTAGCCTTTTGAATGAAGGGAGGCGGATCTGTCTAGTGGGAACGCATGAGAGAGACCCGGATCAGAGAAGGAAGAGGTCCTGTTCGAACCTGGAGGCGCATGAAACAACTAATAAGAGGTAGATTTTTACCCCCAGATTATGAGCAATATATGTTTGAATCATATCAACGATGTGCACAAGGTTCAAGAAGTGTCAATGAATATACATCTGAATTTCTAAGATTGGCTGAACGAAATCAGCTATCTGAAAGTGATAACCAGCAGGTAGCCCGTTATCTGAGCGGTTTGAGACCGGCTATCAGAGACAAAATCGGCGTCCAGATGGTTCTTAGTGTACAGGAAGCAAGAAACCTAGCATTGAAGGCTGAATTAATGTTCCAAGAGAGGACCCGAGCGGATAATTACCACCGGTACAGTGGAAGCGACAACAGACCGGCAACAGTCGACAGGAACAAATCAGCCCCAGGAGCGCAACCTTCTCACCCGGTGAGTACAGCTAACGCCGGTAAGGCCATCACGGGAGGAAATACTCGAGGCAACCCTTCCAACCCTCATAAACCCAGTAATCCCTAGGCAAAACCTGCTCCTTTTAAATGCTTTAAGTGCAATGAAGTGGGACATAGGTCCAATGACTATCCCAGAAGGAAGGCAGTTAACATGGTAGAGAGGGAGGAGGAGGAAGATGTTGAAGAGGAAGTATATTGTGGATTTGATGGAGAAGATGAAGAAGGTCCCTATGAGCATGAAGAATACACATGTGTTTGTGAGGAAACTGATGCTGTCCCAAAGAAGCGAAGATACTACTCAACGACACCGGCTGTTTCGCACTAGATGCACTGTACAGGGTAAATTATTTGATTTAATTATTGATAATGGCAGTCTGGAAAACCTTATTTGCATGGATGTGGTACAGCAATTACACCTACTTCCTGAGAAGCATCTGAACCCATACACAATTGGGTGGATCAAAGAAGTCGGCGGCGTACGGGTGGAGGAACGCTGCAAGGTCCCATTCTCCATTGGTAAGTACTCTGATAAAGTATATTGTGATATTGTAGATATAGATGCTTGCCATATTTTGTTAGGAAGGCCTTGGCAGTTTGATATAGATGCAAAACACATGGGTAAGAAGAATACCTACCAACTCGAGAAAGAGGGTATATGTTACACCTTATTACCCATGGCAGGAAAGAATTCCCCAAAGGCTCCAAAGACAGAGGAGAAAAATTTCCTTACCGTTACACATCACCATGCTGAATTTGTAAGAGAATGTAAGGATACCCGCGAGGTCCACTTGTTGGTGGTAAAGGGAGAAGGCATGAATGAATCACTGGGGGAAAACAAAATTCCAATGGAAGTGCAAGGACTACTTGATGAGTTCCATGATATAGTCCCAGATGAGTTACTTAATGAACTCCCACTCATGCGATATATCCAATACCATATTGATTTTGTTTCTGGTGCTAGTTTACCTAATTTACCCCATTACAGGATGAGTCCTAAAGAAAATGAAATCTTACGGAAAAAGGTAGAAGAATTATTGAAAAAGGGGCATATTCAAGTCAGCATGAGTCTTTGTGCAGTACCAGCATTGTTAACACCCAAAATGGAT